GTTCAAACAACTGCTGTTAAACGACAAATACCCCGTTTGAAACAGCGTGCAGAGATAAATGTGCCGAGGTTTACTCAGCAAAAATTGCAATACACGTTATTCTGAAAAAGAAACGTATTTTCTGTGCAGAATGTGTAAATATGATGAGTAATTCATGCTATGGAAGGAGGCTAGTCTGCTCATCAGCAAGAGGCTGAAGCGAATCCTGAAACATGAGCTGAGGTTAGAGCTGCTAAATGTCTCCAGGAAACTACTGCATCACAGCAGTCGGTGCCAAACTGCATAAAAACAAGAAAACAAGCACAAAAATAAAGTATGCAGAGCAAAAACGCAATTTTATGAACACAGACTCAAAGTTAAAAACAACATAAATGCTCTGTACCACACTCACAGTTAACACAGGGGAGGATTGAGTTATGTTGACCTGCCAAACAGTGGACTGTGCAAAAATGTCCTGTGGAGTGAGGGATTTAGTCGCTCCCGTAATCTTTCCCTGATGCGACTGACAATCCGTCTTGCAATGATGCAAACTGTGAGCTTCTAGAAACAGCTCTATTTCTCTGCAGCCCGAAGGCTGTGCAGGATATGGAAATGCAGGAGTACACTAAGCTGTTGTTGGGCTTTAACCCACATACAGGTCAGAAGTAAGTCAGATGTAATGATTAAAAGTTCAGCAGTTTAGCCTCAGTAAAGGTTTATTGGTGTACATGGGGCAAAAGGCTCCGTGAAAACCAGTAATAAAGATTTAGCAGTAAGCTCACTGGTTAGCTGACATTTAAAAATAATAGCTCAGGTATCTGGAAAAAAGGACAACACAGCGCAGCACCGCTAAAACCTTTACCCTAAAAAAGGATGAAAAACGAAATAGCAGAAAGGATTGGGAGGACTGGTGACAGGTGGTGACAGAATCATCCAGCACAGTGGAAGCTGCAGAGATTTGGGTGAATATAAATTCATGTATTTGAAGCTTTAGGTTCTGGTTGGAAGCACACACTTCACCGAGCGAGTGCATGCTAGAGACGAGTGTCATCACATGACAAGAAGACACCACAAATGGCCCCAATCACACAGGGCTGGTAATTTAATGTTTCTGCAAGGTTGGAATCAAAAACCTCATCTGTGCAGTAAAATCCTAGATCTCCACCATGGACCTGAAACTAGGGTTACTAGGTCATGAAATAAAAAGTGAATATATAAGAGATAAGATAAGATAAGATAAAACTTTATTAATCCCTCTGGGTTCCTCTGGGAAATTCAGTTTCCAAAAAAGCACAACACCGACAGAAGTTACAGA